ATTTAATACGATTTTTTCTAATCTGGATGCAAGATGCAAAACCAAAACAATCAGCATCGGCGTCGCGACAACGATAACAGTCTGTGACGTCACTCTTCTAACATACCTACGGGAGGGGGCTTGCAGGGGCCTACTAGGTAGGTGGGCTAGTCTGCTAGGTTTCCTTTTGTTTGTGTGATGATTGATTCGGTTTTAGGGGATACCAGTTTGAGTCAACTCACACACACCCCCCCCCCCCCAAGCAAACTTGCCCATAGGCATAACCTTTCTGTTAGGTTGGTACCATCAGTGGTGGCTCTAGCGGGTGGGGAGGGGGGTAGGTAAGGAGGATTTTGGGGATTAGGGTTGTAGCGGCCGCGCTCAAAATGTATGGAACGCCAGTAGCTAGGTATGTTAAAAAAAAAATTAAATTTGATTGGATGTCCACAATACTGATATCACAAAATCTACCAAGTGTTATAACATATTTAAAAACATTTACAAAATTAAATTTGGTTGTATGGTTGATCTTTCGATCAGCGGACATTTTTATGCATCGGACTCGAGAGTCGTAAGATTTGAGAAAATCAAAAAAATTGTTGAGAAGCATCAGATCTAATTCATACTTGGCATAGATATTAAATATATAATTCTTAAAATTACAGGATGGTTTTTATAATTTACAGTGCTTACAAAATAGGTGTAAATGATGCTTTATTTCAAAGAAAAACTTCCGTACACTGTAACTTCGTGACCGATCAATGAAAAAAATATTTTTAAAAGCGCAAGTAAACTTTGACCTGTTTACTTTGTAAATAAGTTCAAAGGTTAGCGAATGCAACCAATAAACGATTTAATACGATTTTTTCTAATCTGGATGCAAGATGCAGAACCAAAACAATCAGCATCGGCGATAACAGTGCGTGACGTCACTCTTCTAACGTACCTAGAGTAGCGCTATACCGATTGATTGGGATACGGTACGTTATAGCGTTGGTCAATAGCGTTCATATCGTGCTCGTCAATTCTAGTATGTTTCACTCAGTTTTATTTGATCAGGCAAGTGTTTCGAAATAAAGAGAAATCAATGTATATTTTTTATTTCTCGTAGTCTTCTTGGCCCTGGTTAATTAAAGATCGATTTGTTTACAGATTGATTACAGATCGAAACATTTTTGTACGTACATGACATAATTGAATTATGATATGATTAAATTGATATTTATTATATGTTATCAGTTCGGAATTTTATGTATAATGAACTTTCATTTTATATTTCTTTCAGGACACAAACGGATTTAAACATAGGATCTGTATAATGATATTTATTATATGTTATCAGTTCGGATTTTTATGTATAATGAACTTTTATATAAATTAATTTGATAATTGATTAAAACAGTATTAATATCGAACTCTGATACCCATTGTCCAACATACATTTTGCATACTGCACGCTTGGCTCTCCATACAAATTGCTGTGTATCAACTCGCGGCCGCTCCGACCATACTCCGGTAAGGAGACTCCCCGTCAAACAGGTCTGGATCCCCTGTCATCCGACGCACAATTAACTAGGTCGTAGGATTTAAAATTAAAAAAATTAATAATTTGCCTATGCAAAACGTTATTTTGACTGCCAATCCTACTATATACCATGGTCTAAAAGCATATTCTGGACTGCCGCACTAAGCAATAAAAAATTCATCTTGAACCCAACAAGGGAGTTTTTATCATTTGTTGCAATATATTGTATGTGTATTAATACGTAATATTAAATTATACTAATTGAAGTAGTTTGTTTTCTTATCTGTTACCTTCATTTACCATATGTTTATAATAATACATATAAATATATGAAAATATACTGAATGATATATGATCAATGAAAATGAAGGAAAAATATAGTATTTTCATATTTATAATTTCCATACAAAATCATCAATATACAATATATTACTCTTTTTCAACTTTGTTTTGTTATTCTTAATTGTTTTCAATAAAATTTATAGCAAAAGAAAGATAAGTGTCTCCTTCCTCTTTTAATGTTGTTATTTTACTTGTATCACGTACCATTCGTTCCGTACGACCGACGAAGTAGGAAGTCGGCCATCACTGCAGGGATTTCAGAGGGGCCTAGTTAAGTGAGAACATTTCTTCAATTTTGGGTGTTGGGACAGTGGTCATTTTTGCTCATTTTTACATTTTCCTTCCCTATCTCTGCTAACTCAAAAAAATTTAGTGTATAGCTTGTAACTAGTGCTTGAAGAAAATACAGAAGAAACAGTGTGTAACTTGTTACTTTTGGTGTACGTGGGTCACAAACATGGCTGAAAACGCTTATTTTGTCTGTATAGTTGTACACAATGTGATTTTCAAGATGGTAATTTTTCAAAATGGTTGATATTTAACGGGTGTGTAAATGATGTGTGACAATTAACCCAATTTGTAGTACAAAGTCTCATTTATTTAGTTTGTGATGTGTCAAAGTATGAAAAAGGTGATATTATAAGAAATTACACAAGTTCCTCATCTCAGTAAAATACAAATTGTTCATAAAATGAAAACTATTCAGCCGATTTTCTTCAAATAAAAAGTATTTGATTTCTTATTTTTGTCTCTAGGAATAAAATCAAATTAGATATATCTAGACATAAGAAAAAAAAATCACTTTGTGGTATTTATTCCTAGACCCAAGTATGATCTTTTACTTATGTTTTGTAGATTCCTTAGCATCACGGAGGTCAAGGAGATCCCAATCAAAAGGTAAAAGCGGACGTCTTGCAGCTTTAGATCAACTAAAACGTATCAAAAAAGGAGAAAAAATTAAATATGAGGTACTGTAGTCATTTCACTTAATGTTTACATTTTTTTAAGACTTCATTAGTGCCCACTGTATATTGATTGATGTAGTCAGTTTTGAGTATTCTTTCATTGTCATTGTAAACATTACACATTTACCAAAGATGCTCAAATAAGCGCCGCGGCGCTTATGCAATTTTGGAGGCTTCAGTGCGGCGCTTATTCGAGGTTGACGCTTACTTGAGAGGGTGCTTATAAGAAAATATTGGTGTGGCGCTTTCCATGCCGGTTCCTATGTTACCTCTCACGTATACCCATAGTTCAGTAGGCCTGTCATAGGTCCTACTTCATCGTAAATAAACGTTTATAAAGAAATGCTTGTGTCTTCATTGTGTTATTTATTCATTTATGGTGTACATTTTATTTAAAACCCTCAGTTTCTCAAAGTGTTTCATTACACACAGAGTATACTCTCGATTAAGCGCAGCGGCGCTTATGCAAGAATGGCGCTTAGCTAAAAAACAGGTTTGGTGCGGCGCTTATTCAAGCATTTATGGTACATTGAAAAAGTTTTGGCTCTGAGTAGGAAAAGTCAACAGTAATCAATACTGTATATTAAAATATAACACAGGTAAAACTATCTCCGGCCTACCGAACACCATCCCGGCATTACTAATTGTAAGTTTCGGACTTATATTAGTAAATTATATTGTTTTATTCTGTAGAACAGTTAAGTAGTAGATTTACCTTCAGTCATAATGTGCATAAACTGATGTACAGTAAATATATTTTTACCAAAGCTTTTGAAATGTTAGTTTTTAATTAATAAACCTTTCCCCAAGGTTGAAGAAGTGAAGAATGTATATGACATTGTAGATGATGAGGAGTATTCAGACGTTGTGAGGAAGCGACAAGATGAAGATTGGATCATCGATGATAGTAAGAAAAATACTTAATCAATTTTCTAATCATGTGTGACCACTAAAAACATTTAAAACAAAAGAAGTTGTCATGAACAATACACAAATCATAAAAATATTTATGATCATTATTAATTGTTAATTTTCTCTTTTGCATACTCTCAGATGGCGCAGGTTATGTTGAAGATGGCCGGGAGATATTTGATGATGATTTGCTTGGAGATGACGAGGATGGCACTGTGGCGGGTAAGATTTTAGTCAGTTCAGTTTCTTCGCTGGTCTCTGTCACTGCATCATCTTTCGTTGAGATGGGCCATTTTTTCTTTTACTCATTAGAAAGTACAATATAGCAATCAAGAGAAGAAGAAAATGTGATTATATTTGTGTTCATACTTTCACTACAAAATATATATTAATAAATTATATAGTTTCATTTTATTTATTGTTATATATTATAACCTAAAAATATGTGAACTTTCACTGTTGTTAAAACTGATTTCATAAACATACATAACTTTTTGGACTATCCATCTCCGCTCTCTGACACGACACTGTTACCTGATTTTCGGTAGCTGTATGAGTGGATCGTCATTAAAATGCTTAGTTACACACACGTCTTTACGTGATGACTTTACCATACAATCACGTCAACTGATGACTTTCGGTGCTACAGTACGTGTGGTTTAACAAACTCATATAAAAATTGGAACTTGCATACTGTATAAAGGTTTAGACTTAGATGATGAAGGCCTACTGTATGAGTCTAACTTGACCATTAAAGTAACATTTTTTTTATATCGTCTGCTTGTTTATTTGTACTTTTTTCATCCAGAGCAGCAAAAGAACAAGAAAAAGAAGTTTACCTCAAAACCAGTAAGTTTAAACGTTAATGCTCAATATTTTGTCTCAGAATGTATTATCACATTCCATTGTTGTTTATATTTTGTAATTATGTATCACTACCGAGACATGGTAAAATCGAGCAAGAATGTAGTTTCCATAACATAATTTACTTTGATTTCAAAACTGATAGCTTAATATATATTTAAGCCTTAGTATTCTATAGCATTCCATATTACATTACTTTCTAACTATAATCACATTGCATCGAAACTATCCAATTCTATATATAGCTACATTTCATCATTATCTACAATAGCCATAAGGTATTTCCAATACTACTCGACAGTCATAAAATCTGCTAAAATAATTTTCTTCCAAGGCTTCTAATGATTTACAATGATTGTATGGTCAAACTTAAGAACAAAATATGCAATTATTAATCAATCTTAAACAATTTTGTGATATATTTTTAAAATTTTATGATTTTAAAAGCTCATGATTTTCAGTCTACCATGCTGAAGAGCAGCAAACTTGTATTAATCCCCCTATTTGAATGTCCATAATTTCCTTATACACTTTGAGCAATCTTTTATTCTATTAACAAAGTTGTTTCTCTTTTAATGCTGTTGTTTTTTTGTAATAATTTTAATGTTCTTGAAGTGATGGAATTAAATTCCTTGCATTTCTGGGATCCAGATTAAAGCCTGTAAATTTTTTTTTTATCCGTTATTTCATTTACTGTACTTTTATGTTCATGCGTGTCACATAACAACGTGGTCTAGAAATTGCACATCGCGCTGCAGGGCAAAAATGTACTATTCCATAGGGTAAAAAAGTATTGACTGCTTATGAGGGGAATGGTGAAATCTATTGCCCCGAGGTGATGTGGATATCGTAGCCTATCTTCCCAAAGGCCCAAGAAGATAGGCTACTGTCTCCACATCACCAAGAGGCAATAGATTTCACTGTTCCCCGAATCTAGAGCAGTCAATATTTGTTTTATATACCTCATACATAGAGTTTATGAGGACTAAAAAGTACTTCCTGTACTTTCTAGCATAGCCTGGCTAGAGGCCTACTAACTAGGGCCTAGGCAATCAAAGAGTGTGTCTACCTCTTCTTTGGTCATTTTTCTCAATTTCAACAATTTTTCTGAGAATAGTACTTTCCACTACTTACTCCTTAACCAATCAGATGCCTAGAATCTATGTATGCAGTATATAATTTCAAATATGTTATAGTAATTCAAGGAATGGTAATTTATTACATGGCAATCTAATGTTTACTTTCTGATGTTTGAGCTACACAGCAACATAAATCAATCTATCTGATTATCTCTTACATTGCTTTAATGAAGTAGACTCTATTAAGTAGCATGTTTGTATTACTTCCTAGCATACCAGAAAATTAAACACTAAATGTTTTTTTTTGTTTTTTGTGATGACATTACATGGCTTTGACCTTTCACCCTAGAATACAAAGAAGGTGATCAGTGTGAAGCCTGCCAACAACATCATGTCAATGTTTGCCGCAGCCGGAGTAAAGAGCAAGAAATCTGACAAAGATGCGAAGATCGGGACTGATGACCTCCTAGATGAGATAATGAATGACTTAGGGCGATCGGTACGTGAATTATTACGAAAATAAAAATAAATGAATAATACTTGTTTTATCATGGTACATTTATTCAATTCGTAATCATTTTTTTAACTTATCCAGAGGCCATGTATTCAGTTATGATAAAGATGTCAGGGTTCTTCTCACCGCCCAATAAAAACTACCAGAACTTAAGAATATGTTGTTGTAGAGCACAGGTGGGCAAAGTTAGGCCCGGCAGTGATTTTGTTGTGGCCTACGGAAATAAATTAAAAACATCTTTGGCTAGAAAACCCTTGGTTTTCAAATTAAATGTGGTGTTGATAAATATAAATGATATATAGTATCTATGCATATGCTTATTTTTACTAATAAGCTAAGAAAATAATTCACTTGATGGTTATCTATGATTTCTTTCATTTTATAGCCTGCTGATATTGCTGTCAAACCATTGTCTATGAAACGCAAAGCTCGTCCATCAAAGTAAGTTTACAATTACAATATTCTTCCTGTGTCAGATTAAGGTCAAGCTTGACAGTAAATATGCATGAATAATTAGCATATAATTTTCATATATTTCTTACTCACTTATGAAGAAGCATGAATGATTTTGATTTTATTTTCCGTTTAAAAGCCAAATCCTTTTTAGACTCGAAATCGTACCAAAATGGTATTAAATTAACTTTTAGTTCTGTACGTATACTGGCTGAACCCTTAAGGATATAGTGCCAGGCTTGAGCGGGGGTGGGGGCTTTATTATTGTCCAATTTGTTGCTTAACTTAATAATAAATAATATTTGTGTAGATAAATATTAATAAATTTGATAAGTTTTACAATAAATTTACATATACATTTCTGTCCATATTTTTAATAATAATATACTGCATTGTAATGTTTACAACTTAAAGAGCTCACAAAAATATATAGTAGGAGGTGGCTGAGTTTTATATACATATATATATATATATATACATTTCCGTTTTCTATATGTATTTTCTTTTTTTTTTGTATATTTCTTGGAGGTGACCATCTTCATTACAGCCACGGGAACACAACACCCCGAAATACTACACCTCGAAACCCCTTTAATAAAACTCCTAAAAAACCGAATACCCCATTGATGCGTCCTCGACAGATGGCACAAGAAATTGCACCACCAAGGACAACAATAAATAGGATAAAGGAAAACACCAGCCAGAAACCAGCTAAGAAACCTCGACTAACGGAACCAATTATCCAAGTGAAGGAAGAAGTAGAGGACATAGAAGATGAAATTGTTACCGACAATGACAATTATGGAAATGAAGGTCCGTCGCAATACTAATATATTTGTAATAATAGATATATAGTAATAAAAGAATAAGTGAATATAGGGCTTGCCATGCCAAAACTAGAATCAGTGACCGAAACAAGAGAATATTGACTTTTTAATATTCTCCACATTATAAGCTTTAAAATGATGATCATTTACTGGAATCAACTTACTATTGCCAGAGTTGGAGTAATACAGCTTCCCTGTACTAAAGTATGTAGTACTCCCACATTCTTGCGCTAATTAATCAGTTTAACATTTAGCAACAGTACACTGGTTTTAGTATGGCAAGCCTCATATAGTATATTTGTGATTAACAAATAATACCAAATAGTAACAATATAATAGAAAGTACAAATAATGGTGTAATTATTAGGATAATGATTATTATGATAATTCTTATCAATTAATAATGAAAATTTTATTAATAAAATTGTTCAAAATTAAAATTAAGAAATTAATAAATGCAAAAGAGCACTATTTATAAATAACTAATTAGGTGATTGGAATATATGCAAATTTCATTGATTTGACCACTAGTCTCTTTCATGAATAATACCAGTAAAGTAATTTTGGTGGTTTGCCAAATTTTTAGCACATAATTATATTGGATTCATTTAAGATTATTTTAAATAAGTTTTTTTTTATTTTTTTATAGTATCTGATGCTGATATGGCTTTACTTGATGATGATGATGATGACTTCGCTGATGTTTTGGAAGAAGAAATTAAGATAAAAGAAGAAAAAGAAGTGAAAGTGGAGCCAGTCATCAAGAAAGAAGAGAAAAAGCCTGAGTAAGATTGTGTTGCCATTTTGTTTACAATTAGCTTGAGCTGTGGAATGCTGGGTAATATGCTTATCTTCCAATCCAATGATCAAGGCTGAAATCAAACTGGGCCACCCAGCACTGCAGTTTCCACCCAGTCTAAACCTAATTTCATGGTTCTTCACTCTCCTTTCTTAATCCCTTTTCCCATCATTAAAATCCACTTTTATTAGTTTGCCAGTGTTACTACCCACCCACAGTTAAATTGTCTACCACACATCCTTTCTACAGCTACAACCGTGCTAAAATATATATTTACTCCTTCAGATACGATGTTGAAGCTCTGGCATCTACTGGATGGGAGACCATCAAGGGTCAAGTCAACAATGGTGCCCAGAAATGTCTAGCCGATGAAGTGCACATTGATTCATCAAGTTTACCCCTCACAAAGAATGAGGAAGGGGAGCAGGTACTCCGATTCTATTGGTTTGATAGCTACGAGGACCCTTATAAGCAACCAGGTAAGTTTAGTTATTCATCTGGTAAATTGTCAAATATTTTTTGTATAATATACAATTTTGAATTTAAAAAATTTGATTCTAGATTCTTAGTCATGTTTGCTTTTGATTTGCAGGTGTTGTTTACCTTTTTGGTAAAGTTTGGATAGAGTCCGCAAAGACGCACATCAGCTGTTGTGTACCTGTGAAAAACATAGAGCGACAAGTGTTCCTTTTGCCCAGGGAAACGGTAAGTTCACTCTAAATATATAGCTTGATTCTCACCGTCACTTGTCAGAGGCAACTACAAACACAAGATGCGTGGCTATTCCACTAATTGCGTATTCTTCCATTTTGTGTTTGCCCTGTATGCTTGCAAGCCTGTGTGGGACCCCAAAGCTGGTGAGCACAGCAGTTAGAGGCCTAATTTAAAGTAGTTCACACCGATATTTTGCTGTAGGGACTGGCACAGTCAAAGTAGCAGTGATATGCATTTATGTAGCATATCTAGTGCCAAATTCCAAATGTACCCACGATTGCAATGACAAGTCATAATATATGGAACTTAACCACCCAACCAAACAGCAGATTTATAATGTCATTCCTTCAATTTCATCCACACTTGCAATCAGAAGAGCTCGCTTCACTGGACATTTCTTTAGAGCAAAAGACCAAATAATTTCAGACCTCCTTCTTTGGAAACCTCCATACTCTCGACGAGGCAGGCAGAATCTCATTTTTTCCGACACTGTTGCCAGAGACACGGGGCTCAGCCTCGAAGACCTCAGTGGAGCATTCTGGCAGACCGCTATTGGTACCATCTCGGCTGCCGCCGAAGGGTACGGTAAGAGATGGAACTTCTGAATTCATTTTGATAATTTATCATTCCTTTTTTTATTTGCTGTAGAATCAACAAACTAACGAGCCAGTTGGATTCCGTGACATTTATGAAGAATTCAACAGTAAAATAGCAGAGAAATACAAATTAATGAAATTCAAATGTCGAGTAAGTTAGATTTTATTTTAAAATATCTTTCATGATTGTTAATGAAACATTTAATCATTAATTACTGTGATACAGGTGACTACCCTATTTGGAGTAGTCGCATGATAATGTAAGGTTGACCGAATGAAGCTGTGGTGATGACAGTGGACGTAACAGTAAGAGAAAAAAGACCTAGACTCCGAAAAGGTAACATAAACGAAGTGGTGGCAGTTGTGTGTAATAATTTTTTAATACTTAGTATCTTTAAATAATCAAACTTTCTGTAGTATACTTTGTTTAAATATAAATTTATTATTTTTATCTTTAGAAAGTGACAAAGAAGTACTGTTTTGAGCTACATGATGTTCCAGCTGAGTCAGAGTATCTGGAAGTCAGATATGCAGTAAGTTTGTACCTTGAGAATTGTAATTTCTTTACTACATTCCGTGTGTGGAGGGGAGGGAAGTCATTGTTTGTTTTATACTGCTAAAACATCTATTTGCTTCTTAAACTTGCTAGTACAGTAGCTGTCTTCTACTTTTGTCACTAGTCCTACTATCTAATGCCAATATTCGTAGCACATTGATAATTTTACTGTAATTCCTCACTTCATAGACCCTCATTCACTTTTACATCATCTAAGCCACTGTTTCTACTGTCATAAGCCCTATTTCATAAACCCTAGACCACAGTTTGTATTGTTAAGCCCCATTTATAGCACCTAAGCCACTGTTTCTATTGTCTTAAGCCCTATTTCATCAACCCTAGGCTACAGTTTCCATTGTCTAAAGCCCTACTTTATAGCTCCATGGCTATGGTTTCTACTTTCTTAAGCCCTACTTCATTACCATTTCAAACCCCACTTCGTAGCTTCTCGGCCACTGTTCCTACATGCTAAGGCCCTGCTCATTATTCCTTGTTTATTTTTAAAGGCTGATCTACCGCAACTGCCTTCTGATCTGACTGGTGACACATTCAGTGCAGTGTTTGGGACTAACACATCATGTTGCGAAACACTTCTGATGGAGCGTAAAATCCATGGTCCTTGTTGGTTGGACATCAAAATGCCACGTAAGTTACAAATATTGCCTATTTAATTAATCAACAATATTATTGCCAATGCAAATGGAAGGGATTATTCTGGACACTGTGATCATGATCACTAAACACAACTCCACATTTAGGCCTAGTAATAAAAGGGTTTTAAAGTGTCGAGCTCTCTTTTGTTATTTTAAAGTAAATTCAAATGGATTTTTTACTGGATATTTCTTCTAGAACTTTCCCCCAAACCAGTATCATGGTGTAAAGTTGAAGCCTTTGTTACTAGGCCTGATCATGTGACTGTTATCAAGGACCTTACACCACCGCCATTGGTTGTGATGACAATCAGTCTTCGGACAGTGCTGAACACCAAAACACATCAAAATGAGGTATAGTTCCTAGTGATAAAAATGTTAGTATTAGTAATTGTATGTGTTTGCTACATTAAGTTATGAAAGATCTAATTGCAGATTCTAAAAATTGTAATATGCAAAAATAATAATAGCATTCATAAATAGTAAGAATTATATTTCACTAGTCTATTACTTAGGTTAGCAGATTATGCAATGTTTCCAAACCTTTTTATTGTAACCTTTTTAATAATTTTTCTTTATTTTATCTAGGTCATAGCAATTGCTGGACTTGTGCACCATGAATACCATATCCACAAGTCTGCCCCAAACCCTCCATTTCAGCAACATTTTTGTGGTAATTGTTAATATTTATTGTCATTATAATTTGCAATAAGATGTATTTGAATTCTTGATCTGATCAGCATTGTTCTGATATTTTATATCAGTATTTCAAATTCCCCAACAAACAGTTATAACATTCTGTGAACATTTTGGTTAGGTTATGATATGATATGTTTTTCGTCAGAAATTATGTTGTAATTATGTATTTAAGGTTCTACAAAAAAAATCTGCCATGTTATATTTATGATAAGGTAGACTGTTAATGTGGAGATCACGCAATGTCTCTCATGCAACTCAATGGTTGATTTCAAATATTAACGCTTGTATTTATCGCCTTATCAATAAACATTTACTGATTATGAATATTCATAAATTATGATCTGTTATTTTTCTCTCTTAGCCATAGGAAAGCCGAGTGACTGTATATTTCCATTTGACTTTCAAGATGTTGTAAAGCGATCAGTGAGTTATATATTCTGTTTTAGTTAATAGTACTAGGATATTCAGTTGTGTGCCTCAATGCTGAGGATATGCAAATTCATGGCAACAAACAGAAATTTCAGATTTTCCAATGACATTGGAATGCATTGTCCAATTTTAAAAAGATGAAAACCATAGAACCCCAGTAGAAATAAGTCTTCAGACTTTTATTGGGTTATTCTTGGTGTTTACACCAAAAGATCTAATCCAATCTGATCCAGTTTTGATTATTTCACACTTTTTCACCTGTAAACCTTTAGTTCTTTTACTGTAGTGCAGTAATTAATTTAGTACCTCAAGCTCAGTAAAAAAAATGAAAGAACTGCCCATGGTGTAACATAAGAACACTAAGCATTGACATGCAGTGGAGCCAGTGTTTTCGATGATCTATTTGTGACGTAGATTTGGGGGAAAAAAGTGTTTATATTTACCTCCCTTTAATATTTATCTCAGGATTCCAAATGTGAACTGATGGCCACTGAGCGTGCTCTGTTGGGCTACTTCTTAGCTATGATACATCGTATGGATCCTGACATTATTGTGGTGAGTGCAGTTACTTGTTAGACTTTCTGTATTATATCTCTTTATGTTTTGTTAATTTAAAATCGCTTGTATTTCACTTGTCATAATCACTTGTCATAGGGTTAAAACCACAATACATCTCAATAGTAATAACTTTGATTGTAAAAAAAAATGAAAGAAATATTAGTAAAGGAAATTAGCGCTTTGGAGTGCTCCAGTGATTGTGTTATTTATTAAAAACCAGTGCTGAAATTGTGCAATAAAAACATTTCTTTAGACCACTGCTAGAGATATTTTATATTTTCATGGTTAGGTGCTCAAAATATATTTCTCTGGGCCTGTTCAGTGCTTTGGTAACAGTCATTTATATTGTGCCTGCAGCAAATAGCTGTATAAAGTTCAAAATATATTAACAATAAACAAGCATTGGTAACGAGAATCAGAAGCATCTTGAGGATATTTCCCGTACGATTAAAATCGTAACGGTACTGGGTTTGGTCTACAGGAGCTCGTGTTTCGTACAGGTCATTCCATTTATAGAAAAAGCCTTTAATGGTGAAAGCGTACCTGTCATTAGCCATAGTAGCCTAGGTCAATACATAACACCGGCTGTATAAAATTTATTATAAGATTGAAAATGTTAATCTTATTATTGCAGTAGTGATACACTATGTACACGGTTTAGTTACTGTCTCTTATACACATCTGCACCCACTCATATCAACGTCAACAACACACAATTAACACTGTTGAGGACATTCTTTATTATTTCTTTTTGCTTTGTAACCTAGGGCCATGATATTTTTAGTTTCGATTTGGATGTATTGCTACATCGCATCAATACCTGTAAGGTGCCCCATTGGTCAAGAATTGGACGATTAAGAAGACAGGTGATGCCCAAGTTGTCCGTAAGTTGATGTTATTTATGAACTTGTGGGTCTTTTTTATTGTTTATCAAAAAACCGAGATGAACATTTTATTTCATATCGGCAGATATTTACTTTAATTCGCATGTTGATAATATTTTAAATGTTAGCTGGTTTCCATAAAGTTGATACACATTTGGTACAGTGTTTTCACTGCAGTTGTTACACTGGTTAGCGGTCCCGAGGCAATCAGGAAAGCTCTCTGATTGAACTGACTAATAAGTGTTGCCAAAACCTGGTGGCGATAGTTTGTAGCGATTTTATGGAATTAAACTTCATTTGTTTGAGCTCTTTAAACACTATTGCAATGACTTTGTGCTCTTCATAGTCTTATGTTGACACAAAAACTGAATTTTTATTGATGAAAACTGTATTTGGTTTCCCTAGGGTCCTGGTGGAAGATCTGGTAACTTTGCCGAAAAGAATGCCACTTGCGGTCGTATGATCAGTGACGTCAAGATATCGGCCAAGGAGCTCATCCGGTGCAAGAGCTATGAGCTGACAGAATTGGCAAGTTTTGTACTAAAAGAAAGTCGAATTGAGATTCCTTTTGAAGAAATAAAGAACATGTACATGTGAGTACTTCTGTTATTGATTATAAAAGTGAGTACCTAGTACAACAAATATCATGGTACATGTGAGTAATAAGGTTTTGATTTATGAAGTGATTACCTGACTTTTTGTACAGATATGTACTTATATGTATGTAAATATGTGTGTAAAATTAAACAAATTACAGGGTGGAGAGTTAAGGATGATTACATTTTCATCACACATGGAGGTATGAATATTGGTTTATAATACTTATAGTATTTCATTATTAATGGAATATTTTTTTTTTTTTTTAGATCTTCAAAGCAGTTGATGTACCTTGTAGAACAAACGTGGGTTGATGCATCATTAATCCTTCGCATCATGTGCGAGTTGAACGTCTTGCCCCTGGCTCTCCAGATTACGACCATATGTGGTAATGTCATGGTAAGCCGAAAACTTTACCACTCCAAATCCATTGGTTTTCGAGAGAACAAAGCAACATTTCTGATCCTTTTTAGAAATATAGATTTAATTTTTGTGAATATTTAGGACTGACCTTTTTTTTTTGTCTTATTTGTTTACAGTCGAAGACTTTGATGGGGGGACGGTCTGAAAGGAATGAGTATCTATTGTTGCATGCCTTCCATGACAAAGGTTTCATCTACCCTGATAAACAGTTCAAGAAAAAAGCACAGCCAGTGGTAGGTTAAACTTATGTTACACAATTCCACAATGGTCAGTCAGTAAATGTACTAATCAGTCGGTAAATCAATTAATTAATCAGTCAATCTATTTAGCCAATAATCAATTAATCTATTGAATAACCTTTTAGAAGACCAGCATATATTGGATATGATCTCAAAAATATAGGGAGGTTTTGTAATATAATTATCCTAATGATTGCATAAGATCTCGGTGAACTCGTCATATGTTATCTTTCCTTTTTCCAATGCTGGAAAACTCCAAAGGATCGAGAATTCCAGCCAGATCTTCAAGTGATAAGTCTTTGCCATACATTGTTCCACTTATGTGGAACAACCTTCCTTCTCAATATCCACCTATCTACATCTGTTGCTGTTTTTAATTCTTTACATTAAGACTCGCATGTTTTCATAATTTGGTTCTTTTTTAATTTTTTTAAATATTTTTTAATGGTTTTCACCACTGCTTCATTTGAGAATTTTCAGTTTGGACTTGGGAAAATGCATACTTGTTGTGGGTTTTTGAGGCCACACAGGTGCTAGTGCTTTAGTATCTGAAAAAAAGGCGCTATATTAATGCTGTGCGTGATTGTGATCCTAGCACCTTAACCATTAGACCACAGCTACTTCATACAAAATGATCCTGTGTATATCTTTCTAAAAATATTTACACATATTGTTTTTAAACATTTTTATAGCAAGATAATGATGAAGAAATTTCTCAGCCCAAGAAGGGACGTAAAAAACCTGCTTATGCTGGAGGTCTTGTACTGGAGCCTAAGAAAGGTAAGTTAACCAAAATGATATCCTAATGATAAATAATGAATACTAATTATAAAAATATATATAATTAATTTTAATAACATATGTGGCAAAGACAAGCCAAACCAGTCATTCGTCTTTTGATTTAACTCGATTTTATGATTTTAGGCATTTCTCATGCAGAAACTATCTTTAAATCCTTAAAAAGTATTGTTTTAACATTGAAAATGGGGAAAATAACAGCATAGAATGATGTGTATATATATAAAGGTTAGTTAAGTGCAATAAAATAGATTTTTTAAAATTTGACATTCCAGCATGTTTTGGCCATTTTCTCTGAAACACGATTTGCGACGAGTGACTGGTTTGGCTTGTCTTTGCCACATATATTTTATAAATAGTATATTATGTTAAAAACAAGTTATAAGAGTCATAATTGCATAGTCTAATTTCTGAATACATTCTCTGATTGACTGACATATACCAAGTTGTTGTCTGCTGAACTTACCCTAAAAATAATGGAAACATCCACCTCAGTGCGCTGTATAATAATGGATGCTCTATGTGCAATCATCCTCATTTTCTACAAACTTCATTCTTGATCATTACTTTTCTCTGCAGGTTTTTATGACAAGTTTATACTGTTGTTGGACTTCAACAGTTTATACCCATCAATCATACAGGAGTACAACATATGCTTCACAACCATTGACCGTACCCCACCGGCATCGCAGGTAAAAAGGAGGAGGGGGAGTGTCACAGATTCAAATAATCATCCTTGTTTTTGTGGTTTTTATTTTAGATGAATATTAAAGCCAAAAAAAAATGAAATCAAAGGTTTAAATGAGTTTTAATTACATTTTTGTCAATTCATTCAGTTTTTTCTTTCTAAATTTATGTTCAACATTTCTTAATTTTCCGAATTATAATCCTGAAAATATTTTTATATGAATTGAATTTGTTTTCTGTTATTAGGCGGAAGATGAGGACTGGCTTCCAGAAGTACCTGATCCAAACTTAGAAGCTGGTATTCTCCCAACGGAAATTAGGAAACTTGTTGAGCGTCGACGTCAAGTAAAGTCTTTGATGAAAGACAAGAACATAAGCAATGACCTTAGAATGCAGGTAAATTGTTAATTATGCAAAATGTTTTCTGGTGTTAATTTTTTTCTGTTTTCGTGTTCATAAATAATACAAGCCCAACCAGTCATGCCTCATTATTAATACAGGGTTAAACAGTAAAATGAAAGTGAGAAAATGGCAAAAGACTCATTCAAATCTGACATTTCATTATGAAGTTATATGATTTTAAAACACATAACTGCTTAAAGAACAGTATTTGAGAAATCGGCTTTGAGGTAGAAACCATCACCAAATCATTTAAAAATGTTGTTTAAACTTCAAATGTTTCGTTCTAGGTCTATAGCTGTGCTAGGCCTATATAGTATCTTGGTTGACATTTCATCGTCTTCCTACGCGATATGATAATGATTATATTTCCCTAATAATGACTAAGTTAAAGAATTTATGCAATCAATTTGAAAAAGTATTTCCATGATTTTCGGCATTAACTAATAGAAAATTATTAAATATGTTTGCTTTTTTATGATGAACATATTAATTTAATTTATTATTTATTCTGTTTACAGTATGATATTAGACAAAAAGCCCTCAAGCTCACTGCTAACAGTATGTACGGCTGTTTAGGTTTCTCTCACTCCAGATTCTATGCAAAGCCTCTGGCTGCCATGGTAACGGGGAAAGGTCGTGAGGTATTGTGCACTACTTGTTATTCAATGCAATTATAAATAATATCTTTATTTAGATTCTTTATATTTGAATACTTATTAACATACTAAATTATCTTGCAGATTCTTATGAAGACCAAAGAACTAGTAGAGAAGGTAGTTATTAGTTTCTTTATTTATATACTCCAATGACATATCCGAAGAATTTGATTGGTTGAAACCATCACAGTCATGTAGGATGGCATTTAAAATATACATTAGAATGTGCATGTTATGGAATGCAGTACACTTTTCAGATAAGAGTAGGGGATTGTTTCCAAGTGTACTGCTCAATTTACTTCCAGAATGAACTCACTCTAACCAAGTTTTCAGCCTTAGTGGATTATTCTTGTGATTCACACGAAATGTACTTCCATCCTTTCCTATCTCCTGCAAATCATCACAGTCTCTCACACACTGACACATCTCCTGCAACATTTCCATGTTTTTCCTACTGTATTTTCAGATGTCTCCTTAAGTCCACACCATGTGTATCACCATGCAAAATACATGTGTTTAAAAATAGCTCATTAACCAGACCTCCCACAAGTGGCTTCCCCCAAACTTTTAAACCCTGAGCTGCTCTCCATGTGAAATACAAGTTACAGCATATCATCTTAGTGGTTTATGTGCAGCTTAGAGGACACATACGCCCTCCAGAAAAAGAGCAAGGGATTGCCTCCCAGTGAATTGTAGCATTTACCACTACAAGATTGCCCTGCATTGCGGCTGAAGCTGGTCCCCGGGGCCCGTGCCAGGATTTCCTTTTACTAGTGTAACCTGGGACTAATTAGCTACTTTACTGTATGTTTTAGATGAACCTTGATGTGATTTATGGTGATACTGATTCCATTATGATCAACACGAATACAATTGACTTTGAAGAGGTCTATAAAATGGGAAACAAGGTGAAAAGTGAAGTGAACAAATTGTACAAACTTCTGGAAATTGACATCGATGGAGTATTTAAGTCCATGCTCCTACTCAAGAAGAAAAAGTAAGTACAGTTGATTAGACCAATACTCGCACTGAATATGCTCAGTTTGTTGTCAAAACTAAATGCACTCTCTACCAACTAACCATTCCCTTTCAAGAACACTGAGTCGTTGTGGAAACATCAGGCCATTTAATACACTGATTTCAGTTTGAAGAAGGCTCAGTTAGAATTAACTGTTAGTCAACTAAAACACCATGTACCAACTTAACTTTCTGTTTGTTCAGTTAGTGTTTAAACACAAGGCCTCTAGACACTACTCCGAAGAATGCTCAGCTGGTATGGTCATACATCAATTCACTACCCACCAAATAACCTTTCCATCTGATAAAGGGTCATTTGGTGTTGAAAGTTCAGGCACTTAATCATTATCAATCTTCTTAGGTAACTTCTGTCTAAAGAAGTCTATTCGGATTTGAACATCTGCCAACTATGTACACTATTCGCACACGTAACTTCCACTCTGAAAAAGTCTCAATATTGAAACATTACACCATTAAATATGCCATCTACCATCCACTCCCCTTACAAATAACTAGTAAAAGATAAATGCATCGTGGGACTTAAATGAGATGTGTTCTTTTTATCAGATATGCTGCCCTCGCTGTCCAGAAGTCTGCTGATGGCACGTACACCACGACCCAGGAATTGAAAGGTCTGGATATTGTGAGGAGAGATTGGAGTGGACTTGCCAAAGAAGTTGGAAAGTGAGTCCTGTCTTTCTGTAATCAATTCATTCATTCAATCTCCAGCCATATTACATTTTAAGTAGAGTCGAACCCCTCATTTGGGACACCCCTGTTAAAGGAACACTTTTTCAGTCACAAAACAGGGGAAAGGTATGTCTTCACACGGTGGCTAACCCCTATTCCGGGGAAACCCCTATATAGGGGACACACTTTTTGGTCTGGAATGTGTCCCCTAATATGGGTTCTGTATAGTTTTGAAGACAATAAAAGATAATATTATATAATAATGGTGTATATTTACAATTTATTCACATACTTTCGAATTCAGTTACGTGATTGGTCAGATCCTGTCTGCTGAATCACGGGAGACTATCGTTGAGAATATCCACACACATCTAATTGATGTCGGTGAGAAGGTTAAAAACAACAAGCTGCCTATGCATATGTATGAGATACACAAGGTGAGAATGATTTCCTGAATTGAGATTGGATAATAATTTTAACGTGAGAATAATAATATTAATAATACTGATTGTATTGTTAATAAAGACATTTTTCTTGTTATATACCAACAGCTTTAAGATTTGGTATATTTTGTTTCGTTTTCGTTGGTCTTTTCTTTGATCGTTCTTTCAGCAGAGGCCTATTTGATACAGAGTACTGTACTGTTCTTCCATAAGGCTTAATTATTTTTCTTTTATTCTTTTAGTGTTCTTTAAGCTGGTTGGGGGAGGTATAAATTCAAGGGCTTCTAGTCTTCATCAGTCACTCCTATTAAAAAAACAAAGCTAATTGTAAACCTACACTGTATTACAAACTTTTCACTTCAGAGTTTAACCAAATCCCCGCAAGACTACCCAGACAAGAAAAGCCTCCCACACGTGCATGTTGCACTATGGATGAACACTCAAGGAGGGAAGGAAGTGGGAGCGGGGGATACTGTGGCATATGTTATATGTGAGGTAGGCATTCGTCTTAATTTTTTATGGTACAATTCGACCAGGATGCTTTATTTCTTATAAAATATCCCATTGGAATATTTTAGCAAAACATTAAAAGGTAAAAGGTTACCTAGAAACAGGGACCAGATGAGTTTGTGCATTGATTTTATAATTCTTGTACCAAAATGCATCCAATTCATTATTTATTTTAATTTCTTTTATTATTAATTAAAATAAATATCAAAGAATATTATTTATTGTTCTTATTAGGATGGTTCAAATCTACCTGCAAGCCAGCGAGCATACCATCCAGACGAAGCCAAGAAGCGGAATCATCTAAAGATCGATACTAAATACTACTTGTCACAGCAAGTCCACCCGGTCGTGTCCCGATTATGTGACCCCATCGACGGAACTGACGCTGCCCATATCGCTGAGTGTCTTGGTAAGTGTGTTGACAGTAACAAGTTAAGCTCTAGCTTGGTGGTTATACTGTACTGTTTGCCTTCCTGAGTTCAAATCCTTTTGAAGAAGCACTAGCCCTGTTATTTTTTTGATTGATTGATTGTTTGAATAAATATTGATTGAATTGAATCCATTTTCTTACTGGATTAATTTTGGTCAATCTAACCTTGTTCCTGATCTATTTGACGAAAAGAAGTCAATCGCAAACAACCCATGTTACATTGTCAGATTACCCAAGAAGCATGGTAAGTTAAGATAAGATAGTATACATTCCTGATGATGACATAATTAATGTCGAAATATTGAATCCCGACGCGATGGCGTGCATTTCGATACTTGGAGTATGTATTATACTATCTTATCTGAGAATAATCAGTGGACCTTTCGGTTTAAGTTTAAGCAGGTGACTGGAATGCAAACAGTGTGACTTAGTTGTATCATCCTGAGTGCATGCAGCTACTGCAGACACTGCTGAACTTTTCACAGAATGATATATAATACACTGGACACGTATGGGCAAATTCTTACTATCTATCATTTAGCCATGTCTTTAATGTAATTGCCAGCAGTAGTATGATTTGACCAAAGTAAAGTTACCCATTGTCTTTAATCCAGTGCAAGAATTTCTGCATCTTTATATCTTATTGTGAGTATTTTTTTTTTGTCTAGGCCTGGATCCTTCAAGTTACAAGCAAGCCTTAAGACAGCAGGAGGCAGACCATGATGCATACCAGAACTTTGAAGCTCAGATAACTGACGAGGAGAGATACAAAGATTGTGAACCGTTCAAGTTTGTGTGCCCCGCATGTAAAAGGGAAAACATCATAGATGTTGTAATCACAAGCATGGTAAGGAGCGGGTGGAGGTCTGCACCTAATTTTGTTTTCATTGGAATTAGGATTTAGTATCATGCTCAATGTTTGCATTTTGTTCAATTGCTTTTTTATATTAGTGTATTTTTGGCTGAATATTGAATGAATGAATGATTTCAGTATATGTCCTTTTCTTTATTAGACAAACCATATTGTATATCGTTTGGAGGAGTGTTCAAATGAAGAATGCATGACACCACTGTTCAAATATGAAGCACAAATTAAAAATCAACTACGAATGATGGTTCGAAGATGCGTAACAAAGTATTATGATGTAAGTCTTTATTGCCGCCATCACCATTATCATCACCATTATCATCACCATTATCATCACCATTATCATCACTATTATCATCACCATCTTCATGTCATCACCATTTTGTATTTTATTATCATTCACCTTATTTATTTATTTATTTTTTACAATTTTTAATCAGGGTTGGCTTGTTTGTGAAGATACTTCGTGCAATCATCGTACACGTTGTGTTCCTATTAACCCTCAGCGCCATGGCCTCCCTTGCCCAGTGTGTCAACGAGCTCTACTAAAGCCAGAGGTAGGTAGAAATATGTTTATGTTGGGGTTTATTTGTTGCATATTGAAGTGGATGTATTTAAGCAAACACCATTGCCATTTCAGTCACTTAATCTTAGCTCAGTCGGCTAAACTGGAGGTTGCTACTGTGTGTGCGCTGAACTGTAGGGATCCTTTGGTACGTTGTATTTCAGCTGGAGGACTGAAATACAAGTTAGGATAGTGCACAGTCTTTCGGAGGAGACGTTTAAACCATTGGTGCTGTGTGCAATATGGTCCATGTGCATGTTACAAAATGCAGTACACTCTTCGGAAAATATGGGGACTGCCTAGTTCACCAGCAGAAGGACCCCGCTGGAAACCAGTCACCAGACTTAGTTGGTTAACCTTGGTGTGATTTACATCAAATATACAACATTGATTAGATCTATCTCTTCTTTAACTAATTACTGTAATTTATTAATATTATTTATTGATTAAATTTCAGTACACCAGTAAAGCTTTATATACTCAGCTGCGATATTTTAAGTTCATCTTTGATGCCCATCGAGCGATTCAAAGTAATAAGGACAAAAGTAAGCAATTTTAATAAGAGTTTTTTTTTTCATGTACAGTGCTTTTAATAGAGAGTTGCTGTTCCTTGGTTGTTATGTTGTTTGCCTTCCAATCCCAAAATCCTGGGCCCAGTCATGATTTTTGTTTCTTATTAATTAAAAGAAAATTTGCTCCCAAAGCTTCAAGAGATTTAAAGCATGTTCTGCTTCTTGGCTTTTAAATGGAATTGGTATTTAGATAAGAATTAAGTTAGCTACTGGCAGTCCTAATGAAATATAAATGCATTTTTCTATTTTAAGTTTTTTCAAAGTAGTATAAGAAGCTCATGTCAAACTTCCAAAAATTCAATATATTTACTTCTTAGCCAATGACAGGATGGAATAATTAGGATGTTTGCATTATCAAACATAGGTGGATGATTTTCTCAATATATAGTTGAGCATGGGAATCTAATTTTAACTCAACATTGGAATATAAGGCTATAATATAAAAATAATTTCAACACAAACATTTCAATAATTTTTATGGTTTGTTCTACAGGTTTGACTAAACCAATTTTTGAGAGGAATCTGGAGGCGCGTAGCACATACGATAGACTTCTCCAAATGACCGAATCTACCATCCAACAAAGCGGCTACTCGGAAGTTAATCTTAGCCGGTTGTTTGAAAGCCTATTCACAATCAAGGTTTAATTTCATGGGTGCTATAGGAGTTTATAGAGGATTTCAGAAGCAAGAGACATAGTGGGAGGTTGGGACTACAATTAAAAGTCAATACAGTAGTAGCATAGATATTTGCAATTTAATGAAATCAAGGATTAAGTGTGCAGGATGGGGGTAGTATACAAGATCTGGGGTTGGTGTATGTGCATGATCCAGGGTTGATGTGCATAATCCAGGGTTGGGGTGCCAGATGTAGAATTGGTATGCAAGGTAGAAGGGGTGTAGTTCAAGATCCATGCTTGGTATGCAAGATCCAGCTTAAAATTTGAGCCCAAACTTATCCACTGTTTTGTTTTGTTTTTGTTTTTTTTGCGAATAAAACATTCTGAGCTGTCTGTTCTGTGATTGGTTGTGATGTAGTTCATACCCTCACATGTTGACCAGCAGTTTGTGTGAATGCTATCTTCTGTATGTATATTAAAACTAAGTTTGTGGAAAGTGTGGTAAATTCACTTCGGCCGTCCGACCCATTTTTATGCCCACCCCTGGAGGCTAATAAAACATATGTACATATAATTAGGGGAATTTTATGTGGCATATTTGTAAGGGTACAGGCTTACAGCCAAATAGTTGTGGGTTCCGGTCAGTTTCTGATCACATTGCTTGTGTCTTTAGCAAGACAGTTTGTCAATAATATGTGTTATATAGAGCAACTTAGCTCAGTCGGCTAATCTGGTGGTAGCCACTGTGTGTGCGCTGAACCGTAGAGATCTCTAGGTCCCCAGTTCAATTCCTATCGCTGCCTCTCCTTGTGTTTCAGCTAGAGGGCTGAAATACAAGTTAAAATAGCGCACCGTCTTTCGGATGAGACGTTTAAGCCGTTGGTCCCGTGTGGCATTTATGGCCCATTTGCATGTTAAAGAATGCAGTACACTCGTCGGAAAAGAGTAGGGAATTTTCTCCTGGAGTACTGCCCAATCACCACCAGAAGGACCCCACTAGAAATACGTCTTCTAGACTTTCGTGGGCTATCTTTGGTGTTTACGCCAAATAATTCCAATCCAATCTAATACCTCATATCTAGATTCTAGGCATCTGAAAGGTTATGAAGCTGGCAATAGAAAGTACTATTCCCCTAAAAAATAGTACTTTTATTTTAAAGAGGACTGCGACCTCTACGACGAAAGAAATTGGCCCTTGACAGCGCCACAATCCTGGATGAAGAAGGACTAGCATAAGCCTAGCATTACTTCTTGATGAAGCCAAGCACTAAAAAACAAATTAAATATGTCTTGTTAATTCAACAAATATTGCAAGACGATGTGTGCTGTTGAAATTGAGGAAATGAGCAACAACTAGACACACTTTGATCACCTAGACTAGTAGAAAGTAGGCTCTAGCTAGCCTAGGCTAGAAAGTAAGTTCTTTTTTAGGTCTCATAGAACCTATGTATGAGGTATATAAAACAAATATTGACTGCTCTAGATTCTGGGAACGGTGAAATCTATTGCCCCTTGGTGATGTGGAGACTGTCGCCTATCTAAAATAGGCTACTGTTCTCATCACCTCGGGGCAATAGATTTCACCATTGCCCTCATGAGCATGCAGTCAATATTTGTATACTGTACTAGTTTCACAGAATCAGTAATTTCGTATACAATGGTACAAGAAATAGAAGAAATTTAATATGATTAGGGAGGTTTTCAAGAGTACTATTTAACCAAAGCAAATGTATGTACATAGTAAATGTACTATTTGGCCTACTTAATTGTAAATAGTCATAATTATCAATGGGTACTCGTGCACAAAATCTTAACCTGATTTGCATTTTTATATATTTCTTTATAGAAGTTTCATAAATAATAATAAATATAATCATCAGATGGAAGAATACATTTCTTGAGTTTTTTCCATACTTCATTTTAATTTATTGGAGGGTGCAAGCTCTTTTGAAAGTGTGGGGTGGGGGAAATCCCTAAAAATCTAGAAATGCCACTGCATCTCGCTCTTAACTTCATTCAACAATGTAATTTTCGCAATTTTACAAAACAATTACACGACACAGATTATGAATTCAGAGCTCAGATGGGGTACTACATATTACAAGGGTGTAGGACGAAGTCATGAGAAAGACTGGGAGAATGGTGCTGATTGAATACAGGAGGTCCGATCAAGGATGCAGAAAAGATGTATTAGAGTGACAGAGAAGTTGAGTAAAATCAACATAGGGAAGAAAATATAATGTAAAAATGGCGGTGATCAGAATTTGACAATTGGAATAGTGTTATTTCTGTCCCCGCCCATTTATACCGTCAGGGAAATTGGCCTACCCGCCGGGGGACAGTTCCCACACCCTTGTCGGGCAAATCCTGGTGCCACCACTAAAAAGAAAGAGGAAGAAGATGAATCGACAAAGCAAAGAACGTTTTGATCCTTTTGAATTGATAATTTTTTTGAGGCAAATATCTTTGCAGTTAAACCATGGACCTATTAATAATAATAATTATTAATAGGTCCATCGTTAAACTTAATTGTCGAGAGCGCCGGTCATTTGATATATGCGCTTATAGAACATTGACGGCAAAATAACAATAGATGGTGGAATACAATGAGGAGTAAAACTAATCGGTCATGGACTCATGAATAGAAAAATACACCATCTTGCACAATTTGAACCTGGGGATTGGTAGGTTACCGTCAACTTAACAACGGAAGCTGCTGACTCGTGTTTTCACTTCTGTGATACATATCCATCCACAATACAACACGGTACAATAGCATAATAAATAATGCAAGTTCACTGCATGCTACATGGTGCCAAAAAATCAAAACAATAACAAACTTAGTGCCATTGGAAAATATTGTTAGATTTATCAATCTGTTCCCTTCCTCCCTCATCAAAAATTTTACACGGTAATAGAAAATATTTTGTTGATTTACCTCATCAAAATGTTTAGCAACGTTGAGCATTTTGTCATTTTAAATGTAATACGACACGTTCCCAAACATGCGAATGTGCATTTTGTTGCAAATGTTAAAGTTTATCTTTAAATTACATTTCTTTCTTTATTTAAATAGTAATTACTCCATATCCGGATTTAAAAAAAAAAACAAAAAAAAAAAACCTCCGTCCCTTGTCAATTTTTTGAAAAACTAGAGTGATAATCTTAATATCGTTTTCTATCTGCCTTACATTATTTATTTGTATTACATCAAGATTACAGTAGGCCCTACATTTTTTTTATCAGTATACTGTGTATAAAACAACACTTTTAAAGTATATCGTATAAGGATATAAAATTTATTGGCTTTAGCTTTCTTCCACACAAGAAAATTTGAGCGGCGCCCGACCACGCCTACTTTTATCTTGTCAGGGACATCCTCCCCCTCCCTTCCGTCGGGAAAATCCTGGCGCACCCCTGATCTGCTGTAGTGCTATTAAACTCTTCAAAAGTATGTTTATACGTATAAATAATGCAATCAAGTAGTACTGTATTTGGTGCACGTTCTCAACGCAATGTAAACATTGTCACGGTTCGATGCACAGGCATAATCCAGGGCTGTATAATTCTGAAGTGCGGTCGTACCGGAGTAGGTTAATTCTTTTATTATCGTTAGTCAGCAAATTCTAACACAATACCACACCTAACTGCTTCACTTTATCGATGTTCAATGTCCTGAGAAGACAGTTTTCAACTAAGATTTCTGTCATGGCAGCGGTAAAAAGCTACGATTATTTAGTTATCGGCGGTGGGTCTGGCGGCATCGCTAGCGCACGCAAGGCTGCAGAATTCGGTGTTTCTGCTGGGTTAATCGAGCACCAGCGCCTTGGAGGAACTTGTGTAAGTAAAATTAGGCCTATTGACTTAGGCCTAGGCTAGCCTTTATCTTGATAGTATAGGCCTAGTATAAATAATTGTTACGCTCGTAGAGGTCCTACCTCTCATTGACGTGACTATAAACAGCCACTAAATCAGTCTTCAACTGAACGTTTTGCCTACAATTTAGTTAGGCACTCCAGATCCCATCTCCTTGTTATTTTATAAGGTGGCGATCCTTTAAATTTCAGGTATTTCTCTGATATGGTACTCAGAGCAGGGGCGGATTTTTAGGGGTCGTGGCAAGCCGGAGCCGGCC